CATCCCCTGACCCCTCCCTGCAGACATGGACATTGATGAGGTCACCCCTCAGCCTCCTCTGCTCCAGACTGAACAGGTCCAGACTGCCGAGTCTTTCCTTGTAAGAAAGACATTCCAATCTCCTAGGTATCCTCATTTCCCTCTGCTGGACCCTCTCCAGGAGCTCCATGTCTCTCCTGCACTGAGGAAACTGGAAATAAAGCTGCCTCATGCTGGGCTTTCTCTGCATCATGCTTGTGTCAGAGAGCTTCTTCCCTGACTTCCCACAGAAAAGGCTGCCTCACTTTTTTTTTTTTTTTTTTTAACAGAATCTCCAAGGCTCTGCCGTTTAAGGCAGAGTTAAGGCAGGGTCTGAGGCTGGATTGTAACCCTTTTGCTGGCCCAGGTCAGCACAGGGCAACAGGGATCATTTCACCCTGGCTTGTTTCCAGCACTGGGATAGCGGAGCTGAAGCCAGAGGAGCAATATTCATAAACTAAAACAGAAGAGGCTCCACCTCAACTTGAGGAAGAACTTCTTTATGCTGAGGGTGGCAGAGCACTAGAACAGCTGTGCAGGGAAGTTGCAGAATTTCCCTCTCTGGAGACATTCCAACCCCACCTGGATGTGTTCCTGTCTCATTCTCCAGGTGACCCTCTCTTGGCAGGGGGGTTGGACTGGGTGATCTGATCTTCAGAGATCCCTTTCAACCCTGATGATTCTGTGATTAACTCCTTTGCAGGCCCCATTCATCACTGGGCAGTGGGAATCCTTCCACCCCGCCGCCTTCACGCATTGGTTTGCAGCACCGGGACACCGGAGCTGCCTCCCGGTGAACAGAGGTGTCAGGGAGCCGGTGCTTCCACGCCCACACGCTTCAGGCCCGGGACAGCAACGGGAGGTGAAGGCGGGGCAGGACGGCCGCCACTCACCGCGGATGCCCAGGAGCAGCTCTCGGAACTCGTCCCGCAGCTGCCGCCGCGCCTCTCCGCCGCACCGCGCCGCCTGCAAGGGACGTGCTCAGCGCCGGCCGCTCTGCGGAGCGGCACCGGCGGCAGCCCCGCGGCTCGCGGAAGGGAGAGGGGAAGAGGACGTGCCGCACCGTCCATCGCTCGACCAGCGCCCGGCTGCGGGCGGCCCAGGCCCGCAGGCAGCCCCGCTCCGGCTCCGGCTCCGGCTCCGTCCCGCGCCGCCGCTTCATGGCCGCCGCCCTCGCCCGCCGCTTTCCCGCCCGCGCCGCCCACGGGCGGGAACGGCCGGCACCAAGGCGACGGGAAGCGCGGGGCCGAGGCGGCGCGCGCCGGGAGGGCGGCGGCCGCGGAGGGACAAACGTCGGCGCAAGGCGAAGGCAGCGGTCGAGTCAGCCCGGGTCGGAAGGGACCCGTCAGCCACCGAGCCCAGCCCCCGGCAGGGCCCGTGCGGAGGGCGGCCGCCGGCCCACACCACCCGCGCTGTCCAAACGCTTCCCGAACTCTGCCAGCCTTGCAGCTGAGACCCCTGCCCTCGGGAGACTGTTCCAGTGCCCAGCCGCTCTCTTGGAGAAGTCTTTTCCTAAATCCCGAGAGCCTCGGACCTCAGTTCAACCTAAACGTCCCCTGACACAGGTTCAGGCCGTTCCCTCAGGTCCTGTTGTTGCTTTCTGCAGAGATCAATGCCTAACCCTCCATTTCCCCTCAGGAGGAAATTGTAGATGAAGGTCCCCATGCAGGAGACCCCAGATGGGTCAGGGAGAAGGATGGAAGAATGAGACTACACAGCTCTCCTTGGCTCTCACCATTTTATTTGCAGACATAATTTTCACAGCTGCCCGGAGCCCCGTGCCACCCTCGGACAGCAAATCACGCACACCTCCCTCCACTCCCGATTAATTAATTATGCAATTTAGCAACGGAGCGACCCCATCCTGGCAGCCTCATGCGGTTGGTCGTGCCATACCCAGGGTGCCAGGTGAACGAGCACAGCCAACTTGCCTGCTTTAGAGGGTTTTTTGAAAAGAAAAAGGCTCTGCTTCCCAGCAGAGACTTGATGAAAGCATTGACAGCCAGATATGTAGATACCCAGGAAAGTGTAGCACCACGCAGCATGCAGAGCTCCCAGGTTGCTTTCCACAACTGGGTCCATCCCCTTTTTTTTTTCCCCAAATGAGGGGCTGAGGTACAAAGAAGTTAATAAAAAATAAACAATCTTGCTCCAAACCACGTGGTGCACTGAGTCAGGGTTCAGAGGAGAGCCAGGATCCCCAGCCCTGCGCCCCACACGCTGGCACTGCTGCTTCCTGAGGGGAAAGGGGACATGCACACCAAGACTAGGACTGTGCCTTGGCAGAAAAAAACAGACTGAAGAGTTGAGGGAAAACCAGAGAGAGATGGGATAGAGGAATGGCCGTGGGAACAGAGCTGGAACGAGCCCTGGTCTCTGGGCTCCCCAAAACAGTGCCATCCCTTGGGATCTGTGTTAGCCCCATGGACCAGAGGTGCAGGTGCTCCCAACACTCACAACTCTTCACAGTGGCTGCAGCTTTTGGTCACTATTTTCTAGGCAGCAAAAAAAGAGACACAATTGAAGTTTTGCTCTGTGCCAGGACTATGGGACACACCATGGGCCTGAGCCAGGGAAGTTTCCCAATGACTCTCCTTTGCCAAGAAACACATGCACAACACTTGCAAAGCCCAAAGTGCAGAAAGATTGTGGAGTGCAGGATGAAAACTGCTCAGCTGAGCACTCTGTCCCCTGTCATACTCAGCCCAGGGACACAGGGACCAGAAATAACCTGCCTGGCATAATTCATCTAGGAAAGCCGAGTGGGGCCCTAAAACAACCTCTTTGGAGGGATGTGGGGCAAAACCCACTCCCCAGCACATAAGATTTCCCAAAGAGCCTTGGTTTGGACTAGGAGACAACCCCCTCCTTGGTTTTAAATCAGCAAACACAGCCCTGTCTGCTCTAGCATCAGTGGCATGATCTGCTTCTAAGGTCGCCAGGCCCTAGACTGGCACTAACTCTGTCATCCCCAGCATGCTCAGAAGAATGGCAGCCAAACAATCAGCTTCAGAGCAGCTGAGGAAGGCTGACAAAGACTGAAACAGGCAATGAAAAGAAGCTAGAGCATCTCTAGCCCTTGGGAAACTCATCTTTGTGAATCAGAAATCTTTGGTGTAGCAGCCAGTCTGCTGTGTCCGAGCAGCCACCATTCTATGGTAGCTCTGCAGTGACAAGGTGTAGTTGCAGCCCTTCTACTGCAAGCTTTGTTTAGTCTCTGGTGAGATAAGTGTGTCCTCTGATGATGCTACAGCTCTGCTGTTCCATCTGCTCTCCCAGCCTCCTGGGACCATGAGCCCACACACGGCAGAGGGGTGGTATGCAGGGGTGAGGAGAGGATTCCCAAGCCCCATGTGAGTGCTCCAACCATTAACAGTGAGCATGGGAAGGCTCAGCTGCACTGGAGTGACCAGTGAGAAGAGAAACAAGTCCCAGAGATGGATGCCAAGGGGCCTGGGTGGCAGCTGTGGGGACATCAGTGGCCAGTCCTACACTATCAGTGGCCACAGGGACTTCTGCCAGCACAAATACAGGCAGGCAGAAAGCTCCTGACCAGGTTATGAAGTTACAAAACCAATTTAAGCTCCAGCCTTGAGGTTTAGCAATGTGTTATCCAGATTAACCTCACATTAAATGAAAATTTACTGGGTAACTGCTACCTCCATCCCCTTCCTTCTCCCCATATAGACACACCCCTCGTTCCTTCAGAAGCATATGACCACCAGGCAGTCAGCTTTCAGCAAACAACCTATTTTCAAGGGTGTGACTACCTAAGCCCATTGTGACTACCTAAGCCCATTTTAATTGTGGGCTGATGCATTCCTGTAGCTTTCAGCTTCCCTCACTGTTTGCCACTACCCCTTCCTTGTACTAGCACTGCTGTCATGCATCCAAGCAGTGAGGCAGGCCAGGGTGTGAAGCCACTCACAAACCAGTCCCTGGTTGTGACAGGTGAAACTGAGCAGGACCACAGAGCAGAGGACATGAGAGGCTGAGGTAGCAGAGCAGAGACAGCAGATCAGGAGCAGGCCAGGCAATGGAAATCTCATATATGAACAGTTTAACCCTTCCTGGAATTGCATCTGAACAACTGAGCAGGCATTTTGCAGGGGTAAAATACAAAATTCCACCTGCCCTCAAGAGCCACAGCAACTGGGCACTTGGGAAAAATGTCAAGGAATTAAATCATGAGAGAGATTTTCCCTGGGACTCCGCAGGGCAGAGAAGAACAACCTGGAGTTATGCTAACAGTCTGCAGTAAGGAACTCAAACAGGGGCTAGTCATGGTGCATGAGTTAAAAATTAATGGGATCAGGCAAATATCATTGCAGAAATCCCAGGCAAGCAGTCCTTGTCTCTTTCCAGAGAGGAAAGAGACAAAAGGTTTCATAGCACCAAGAAATGCCACACAGTGGTTCAGGGCAGTAAGGAATCCCAGCTCCAATGGAAACTGCAGGAGGAACTGAGCTGGGATATGGCCAGGCACCATGGTCACCACCCTCTACCTGTGCCCATAAAGAAAGGAATACCATGTCTCCTGACTGTGAGCAGTCAAGGGCATGTTTGGCATTGCTTACTTGTGACATGAGGTCTCACAGAGAATGCCAAGGCCAAGAGGGAGACAAGCCCCAAACATGGGATCATGGATGCACTTGACTGCATCTGGTCCATAGCACCCAGCACACACACAGACACCAGTAAGCTGAACCACTTCCCAAAAGAATTGGTGCCTGCTCCAGGCTTTCAAGTAGCTGTTCTCAAGCTCTGGAGCTCACACCAAGGCTACTCAGCAGCTGGCAGAGCTATTCCAGGTTCCCCTTTCCTGATGGCCAGCTCCAGCATGGGTGTCAGTCCATATTCTGTCACTACATCCTGCTGCACCTAAACTGTTAACAGTCAACAGCCAGCATCCAGCAGCACACACCCAGGAAGAGACCAAGAGCCATGGCTGCTACCACCCAACCCACAGGGACCCAGACAGGTTGAGAACAGAAGTGGAGAATTTCTTGGTCATGCACACAGTTGGCCCTGCTACCACTAGCTGAAGCTAAGCCTGCTGTACAAGGCAGCCCACAGTGCTCCCCACTGCACTTCACTGAGTGGAACCAGGAAAGTGAGACAGAGTGTAGGGCAAGAGAGGCCTTACCATAGAGCAACTGACTGACTTTACAGAGGAGTAGCTGCCACCGAGGCTCCAGGAGCCATCTGCATGGAAACGTGCAGTGTGATTCCAGTGTAAAAACCAAGCATGTGAAAACAAAGTGGTGGCTGTGGGACATTCCCTCCCCTTCCAACCTCCTCTCCCCTCCTCAGCCGGCCCCATCCCATGAGTCTTTGCACAGTCACAGTGACACCTTGCTGGCCACTGAAGCCTACCAGCTGGTCATTGTGGCAGGTGTCAGGAAAGTACCAGCAAGACCCCTGCTGGTGTTTCTCCAAAGGAGCACTTCAGGACTCTTGCTTCTTGGGTTCCTGCAGCAGAGTCCTGCTGCCAGAAAAGGCCCAGCGAGAGCTCTGATCTCCCCTGCTGAGAAACACCATCCCTGTGAGCCAGGAACAGGTGGCTCCAGTCCTTTTTGTTCAGCACAACAGCAGGGAGCTGGGCATAATCCCTGACTGCTGTCGGCAGGCACTGGTTTGCTGCGGGCTCGTGTATCCCTCCCAGCTGGTGGGAGGCCAGGAGACAGCCACAGCCTGGGCCAACGAGCAGGTCAGGCTCCTCACATCTCCAAGGCTACCTCAGCCGAAGCTGGCTGAACCAGGTGCTGACAGCACAGTCCACACGCATCACCAGCGAGATCCCCAGCAAGAGGCAGATGCTGCTCACCACAAAGCCCAGCGACTCAAAGAGGAACCTGCAGGCACAAGAGATGCAGTTAAGGATACAACAGCCAGCATGACTACAGAGACAGGTTGCTACCCTCCAGCTGACTGATTTTCCTGACAATGAGGCTTGTAGCATCCCACATCCTAAAACCTGAATTACATTCACTCCCCAGCAGTTGCTGCCTGAAACCCGTAAGCCAAGCACTCATCTGATTTAGAGGCCACTCAGGACCCATTGACTCAGGGGGGATTGTGAATCCCTCAGAGGCTGAGGCCACCCTTCACATCGACTAATTCAAAGGCTTTCTGGTTCAGCATTTCTGGGTTTATCACTTCTGGCCTGGTATCCTTACCTTTGGCTCTGACTACAACATTCTCAGCTTCCAGGTGGGTTCTGTGTGTCTTTGGAAATTAAGACACACATTTCTTAATGTGAGGAGGAACTTCTCAGGCTGTAGCTCAAGTCTAGCTTCTGAATTTCAACCAGGATTTAGTTAGGGACATTCCTACAACCAGTACTAGGCAATGAGTCAGAAGATCAATCACAGAGTCTCTTCCAAAATTACTGTCTGTGAACTCTAGTCAAGGTGTCAGGGACATGAGTCTTAACCTAGCATCAGAGCAACTTCTGGGACTTACTTTGGGGCAAAGACCTTCCAAACCATGAGGTGTCTCCTGAGGATCATCGCTGCACAAACACAGGCCAGAAGCTGCAGGGAAGATCAGGAAAAACAAGTTACAGGTGACTCTGGAGAGACCTCCTGGGCACTAGGTTCACATCTGAAGGTGGTACTAAACTGCACATGCCTGAGAGGCTGGCACAGAGCACATCAGAAATGAGCATCCTAAAGAGGACTTTCTTCCATGATGTCCTCAATTCAGGAAACATAGGCAGCTTAGGGTATATGAAGACTCTTGTGGGGCCAGGCTGGGGCAGCACCGGGGAGGGCTCACACCAGGGCTAACCTGACCTACTGTTTGACTGAGAGGGGTGCTGCTGCTCACTGCTGCAGGGCTTGCCCCTTCCCTTGCACTGTCTCTAGTCTGACAACACAGGAGAATGATTTGAAGAGATAAATCCCAGAAAACTATTCACTTCTTTCACAGGATTAAAATTTCTGGTGTTCAGCTTCCTATATCATCACAGCACATATGAAAACCAGAGATGGTCTGAGATAGGAATGCTAAGGAAGACCGGGAGTAGGATTACAACCCTGCAGCTCCTGAGCAGACATTCCCATCTGGGCATATGGGTATGAAAAACATCCTAATCCATATGGCAGCTTCCATGCTGGAGCCATTCCCAAAGCACAGAGCAAATAGCATGGCTGAGAAGGGACCTGCTCTTCCACCTGCAACCAGACACTCCATCCCTGGGCCTGTCTGTGTCCTGGCTTACCCCTTTTATCAGAGTGCCCCACAGTTACCACAGCATACCAATTTCCTCCTAGACAACACACACACAGCTACCCTGCTACTGCCTGTACCTGTGCCCCAAGGACAAAGAGGTATTTCAATCCCAGTCGCAACAGAGCAGTAGAGAACTCCTCTGGAGAGTCCCGCAGCCTCATTTCCATCATGTGCTCCTCCACCTCTTGCAGCTCCTCCTGGGACTCCTTCTTGGGCTTCTTCCTCTGTGAGTTGGACATCTCACACACAAAGGGCCACAGCAGGAGCAGTGGACAGCCAACTACCTCAAGGACAAAGGCACATGCAGTTATCAGAGCCCAGGAGGCGAGGAGCAGTCTAGGCTCTGCCATCCTGCCCTGGATGCAGGAAGCACATACCCCAGCTCCAGGCCAGCCTGCTATGGCCCCACAAGGGGAACAGCGAGGCCACTGTAGCTCAGCTGGTGCTGGAGCCTTTATTGCCCCGCACTCAACCTGCAGAGCCCCAAGCAAGGCACTGCCATGAGCTGTGTCCACTCAGGCTCCACAGCCCAGGAAGAAATTGATTTACCTGCAAAAAGGATATGGGAAGCAAAGGTGTTGGCTCCCACCAGGACAGCAGGCAGGAGGTTCATGCTGTGGTCAAGGTGGAAGCCAACAAAGGCTGCATTCCAGTGGATAGCTGGGAAGATAGGCTGGTGGCCTGTGGAATAGAAGAACTGTGAAGCAGCAAGGAGCCAGGAGATGACTGCATACCACGGCACTGAAAAGAGCTCTGAGAAAATAAAAGACAAAAACAGAGGCAGAGGGTGGGGATATTAGCATCAAGGAACAAGATAGATCCATGGTTAAAAAAGCCTAAGAATTTTTTTCCCAGGTTCCCTTTCCACGTTAGCTCTTTTTAGAGACCAGAAACCATCCAAATACAGCAAGGGGCCAGCATTCCCTCTGCTGGTGCCAGTAGCCTTGCTACTGCACTCTGTCAGAACCAGTGGGGTTAGGAGACTGTTCACACCCTGGGAAGAAGAAAGCTCCTTCCCCTGACCCAAGACACTCCTCCCACCACGATGTTCACGTCCCTGCTGCATGCATCTTTCTTCTACCTGAGGATTTAAGCAGCTCTAAAAAAGCTAAGAGTATCCTGAGGATTAGTACACCACTATTTCCCAAGACTAGAAACTAGATCCTGCTTCTTCTCAATGGAACTAAGGCAAGGTCACTGCAGGTTAGGCCCAGGTCACACATGCAGTGGTTGCTCTACGGAGCCCAGACTCACCAGCATCTCTGGCAAGGCCTCTGGCACACGTCTGGATGTGCAGCAGCACAAAGGCCTCCACAAAGAGGAGCAGAAAGGCAAAGCTCAGCCGCTCGCTGTGCAGAAGCATCAAGAGGAAGCCCAGGAGGGTGAGGGCTATGACCAGGGCTGCTGAGTACACACTGCCCAGCCCGTATGCTGCAACAGTGGCCCTGCAGCTGCCCCGCTCCAGCCGGCTCTTCTGGGACTCCTGCATCCTCTTGTAGATCTGAGGGATGACGTGGAGGAAGTCAACTTCAGAGCCAGGAACTCCCAGGTAGGGAGTGACAATGGATCCTGCCAGCTCCCGTGTGTCCTTTGCAAACACCGTCATGGGATTGCACAACAGGAGTAGTAGTCCCATGGATGCTAGTCCATAGACAGCCCTGGGAAAGACAACAACTGCAACCTGCACCAGCTCCTGCAGCCTGCCAAGAGAGTCATCAACACTGGAGGCAACAGCCCAGTAGCAGGCAATGCAGAGGACCACCAGTGGGAAACCCCAGCGCACAAAGAGCACAAGGGGGTCCGAGCTGTTCAGGTTGCCATAGTGCCTTAGCCAGCTCTGCACTGCATACACCAGCCCAGCCAGCAAGGCCACGCACAGGAGGTAGAAGAAGTTCTTGGCCCGTGTGTTTCTCAGGCTGGCAAGTGGGGAGAGGAAAACAGAGGGTCGGCACTGAGGGATTTCTTCGCGGCACTGGTGGAAGAAACTGGAGAGGCGCACGCAGACCAGGAGCATGGCCACGAGGCACAGCAGATACCAGATCTCTCTCCGGTAAGAAGAAACACCAAGGAGCTGCTGCTTGGGACCTTCTGGGACAGTCAGGTGACCATCCCAGTGGAGCTTCCCTACTAGCAACATCACCAGAGAGGCCAGCAGGAACGGAGCCACCCGTGCCTCAGCCACAACAAAGCTGTCGGAGAACATAGCTCCACAGCGGAAGAACAGAATGCCCATGGGGAAGGCCAGCCCCAGCCAAGCTCGCAGCCTCTGCCTGAGGCCACCACTGGCCAAGGGGGGCTGACTGCCTGTCAAACGGGCTCTCTTGAGATGCTGGCCCCACCAGTGCCAGAAAAAACCCAGCTGAGAAGCAGCGGCTGCCCATGATGACACCAGGAGCAGATCCAGCCCCTCTTGGGTGAAAACATGGACTAGCCACAGCAGAGCAGCCCCCACAGGGCCCCAGAAGAGCGGGTACAGGAGGCAGCTGCGACAGAGAGATTGTGAGGACGCCGCCAGCTCTGAGGCCATGTAGCAGAGCAAGCAAGAGGAAGCAATAAGGATGCAGCCCCCCACCATACGCAGGGGGTGGAAGCGGGCCCAGGACTGGGTGCACACAGCCCGTGCCTCTCGCAAGTAGCGCTGGAAGCGACCGATGAGGCTTCCCAGCCTCGGCTTGAGCTCTGGAGGCACTGTCGTCCCATGCACCTGGGTCAGGAGCTGCGTGTGCTCCTCCACAGCACTAGAGAAGAGCTCCTGCAGGTGCTGGAGCTGCTCTGCTGGCAGGTCCTGAGCCACCAGCGAGTAGGACTGCAGGAAACGATACACCTACAGGAGAGAAGACATGGGATCAGACAGCAGCACTGGGAAAACAGGGAATGGGATTAACTGCTTCATGCTGCCCCTTCATAATAGAAACAACCCCAATTTACCAAACCCTCCTAGGGCAGACTTCTCCCCAGCTGTATAATCCAGGCATGTCACCATCAGGAAACTCAATCTCTCTGACAAACTGACATCCCATCTCTCTGACAAACTGACATCCCTCTCAAGTGATGCATCCACAGCGACAGACATAGTGACTCCTGCAGCAATACCTCTGGTAATGCTGAGCATCACTAAGGGTTTTTATGGAATCTTTGGCAGCAATAAGGCAAATGTCCTCCAGAAGGTCAAGTCATTACTATTAATGACTTGTTAATTTGCACCCCATGTTGAGTTTTACAGTTTTGTCTGAGAAAAAACATCACATTAAAAAACTTACACTGGATGAAACCAAACATCTTCCCTTTCTTCAGTAACAGCACATTAATACACTGCACCATAGTTTAAGAAAAATTCATTCTTTTTGCTTTCTACTTCAACAGAGACACAAACAGAGGCAGCTACAATCCCAAAGTCATAAAAGAAGTGTTACAGAGGCATTAGCAAGGCAGAGAACCTGCACACACATCCATCTGCTTAGATCTCTCCAGTCCTGAATTGCACCCGTAACTTCACACAGCTTCCATTTGCCTCAGAGCACAGTCAGAATCAGTCTGCCTCTGCCCATGGATGGCAGACACAGGCACTGGCTTTCTCAAAGGCCTCCCTGGAATGCCACGGCTTCTTCAACACCACCCTTACCAGATCAGAAATCTCCTCAAAGAATGAGTGCAAATATTTACAGGCACAACTTGATAATGCTAATTCCTAACAAATTATGATTGATATCCTCAGTGATTAATGGACACTAACTTACAGTATGATCTTTATATGTCAGAGCACTCTGCTGCTCTATAATTACAGAGCTGAGTATCTTTGTCTACCCCATCAGCAATCATTCTCTCCAGCTCTTCACTGGCTTGCACCAGTAGTGTTCAACTGGCACTCCAAGGAGCTGGTTGGGCACTGGGGGAGTAATTCCTGTGCTCCCAGCAATCCAGTCTCTCAAAGGCAGCCTGGCCCTTAGCTGAGATACATGCCTTGCAATGCCTGTGGCAAATCTGGTTCTGTAGCATAACCAGAGCCACAACAGATGGCCCTCACATGATCCATAGAGGCTCTCACTTAGGCTGCTCTACTGCATAGGCTTTTTTTATACCTGATATAGAGACTCTCCTTCAAATTTTGTCAAGATGCTACTGGGGTTCGGTATTTTGTTGCACTTTATGTTAATTGCTCCTTCACTATCCTACTTTACCTGTTACATGGTTATTTTTTTTTAATTTGGTCTTTCATTACTGTTTTCCTTTTTCCACTAATCTAGAATAGTATTTTGTTAACACTGTTTCTCCTTCAAAACTGAAGCAGCATCAAAATCTCCACTTTTACTTTCTCCAATCACAACACTTGCCTCTGGTCATCTTCGGACTTGAGGAACCAATGTCCCCTATTATTTAATCCACTTCTGACCATCTGGGTCTAGCCACCCTCCATCTTCCCAGACAGTTATTTTCCATACCACAGCACTAAACACATGGCTCTCATTTCTCTTTAGGGAAAATGGGGCAGTCTTTTACTGGAGTAAACACTGCTAGGATGTAATGCTCCAAAGTAAGTTCCCCATGAAGATAATAGCATGTCACCATCTCACCTACACCAAACAGAACAGGTTTGTGCTTAAAAAGTCATTCCATCTTCCCTCTAGTTCAATGGGAGGCTCACTACAGGCCATACCTGCTTGGCATTGATGTGATAGACTGAGAGCTGCTCCAAGGCTGCAGACACAGCATCACTGTCCCCAGCAAACAGCTCAGCCATCACCTCCCCAATACTACTGTAGGGGATGGGCACTCCCAGCAGCAGGGCCACAGTGGGAACCAGGTTCACTTGAGGAATGGTTTCAGGCTCCTGGAGAAATGGGAGGAATCCGAAATTCAGAGAGAACACAGCAATGCAGCTTTTCACTCGTTTGAGAAGACAGTGGGGAAGACATCCCTGCTCAAAGGTGAATCCAGGCAGAGGCACAGCTCTACTCTCCCCAAGGGTCTTCTGGTGAGAAGCATGCCTGCTGGGAGTTGCAGGTCGATGGGGAAGGCCCTGGCTGTCCAACAGCTCACCTGGCCCTACACAAGCACCCCTCACAGCTGCAGTGACCTGACCAAACACTTCAGCCCTCTGTATTGCTGTGTCAGCCCTTCCGCTGTACTCTTGAGACAAGGTGACAAAGCTACCACTCCTCTCAATCACGGTGAAAAGGCTGGAAAGCAGCACCATGGAAAGAGACCTGGAGGTCCTGGTTGATAGAAAGTTGAATGTGAGTCAGCAGTGCTCTGGCAGCCAGGAGGGCCAACCCTGTTCTGGGGTCATCAGGCACAGCATCAACAGCTGGGCAAGGGAGGGGATTGTCCTGCTTTGCTCTGCACTGGGGCGACCTCACCTTGAGTGCTGGAGGCAGTTTTAGACACCAGAATATAAAAAAGATGTTAAGCTATTAGGAAGCATCCAAATGACAGCCAGGAGGCTGATGAAGGGTCTGGAAGGGAGTGTGAGGAGTGGCTGAAGTTATTTGGTCTGTTCAGCTGGGAGAAGGGGAGACTGAGGGGAGACCTCTGGGTGTCTACAACATTCTACTGAGGGGAAGAAGAGGGTCAGGCACTGATCTCTTCTCCATGGTAACCAGTGATAGGACTTGAGGGAATGGTCTGAAGTTGTGTCAGGATAGATTTAGGACGGATAGTAGGAAAAGTTTCTTCACCCAGGGGATGGCAGCACACTGCAACAGGCTCCCCAGGGAAGTGGTCACAGCACCAAGCCCAACAGAGTTCAGGATGTGTTTGGACAATGTTCTTAGGAACATGGCATGACCCTTAAGAATGGCCTATGTATGGCCAGGAGTTAGACTTGATGATCCTGATGTGTCCCTTCCAAATCAGTTTATTCCATGATTCTATGACAGACTCCTCATCCCTCTCAGTCTAAAAAATCCCAGCCAAACTGTTACTCCCTGTAATCCCAGAGTTGGAGTTTTCAGGCACCAGCTCAGGCAGGGATAGGTAAGAGTCAGCTCCTCACCTCTGGAGGGCCACTGCCAAACAGAGGTGTTCTGCTGTACACAAACAGTGCTGCATTGACTTCCTTCTCGCTGTCGCCACCATGGTCTCCAGTTTCCGTCATGCCGTGGTCCCCAGCCACCATAAGAAGAGTGTCATTCCCCAGGTGATCCACCAAGGACCTGCCACCAAGATAAGGAAGATCAACTCAGGATATTTCCCCAGCAAGCCTGCCTGCACCACAGAGGTGAGGTCTCAGAAGGATATGAGCAAAATTAAATGCTGATGCAGAACTGTAACAAGCCAGGGTCCAGGGTGTTTTAAATTGATGCATTAAAGCCAAACTGAAAATTCACAGCCCTAGGACAGAGTGGACCAATCTTGCTTGGGTTCCCAGCAAACAGTGCCATCAGAGATCGTGACAAAATGCAATTGAGAAGAAAGATTTCTCACAAAAACTAAATTTTAGGCTGCTGCTATTTGGGTCATGTATCATGTTATGTGAGCCATCTCCCACATCAAAGGAAAAAAGCAAGAATTACTCCCTGAAAGATGCAGCAGTATGACACAGTATATGCTGTGCTGTCAAATACAGCAGAGCAAGTTACCAACTCGTTCTAGCAGCAAAACTTAAAGCAGTCCTAAAAATCAAGAGCTTCAGCATTTGGGGCTGAGACACATCTGCATGACTGAAATCTCTGTATCCCATCCTGCCCTCTGCCTTAAATGTGCCAGTCATGGTTCTGTGTGATAAATGCAGCAGCATTCATTCCCTAGCCAGGGTCCTCCATCCACTTCTCAAGCATTACCCAGACCTCAGTGGGACAATGTCCATGTTAAAGATGGAAACAGAGAGGCTCAGTTACTCCAGCTGCACTATCATCTCATGGTTTGGTAGAGATGTAAGACCTGAGGGCAGCCTTACTTATGAAACCAAACCTCTCAACAATCATCTACATAAGCAATACTGCCCATAGCTGGGGTTCCAGCTGCTGCTGGCAAAAGCTGTTTTCCATGTTAACGGGCTCAGTAAGCATTAATTCCCTGTTGCCCTCTGTATCCATCAATTCCTCGGGAAGGTACCACCAGCCTGGCTGAAGGAAGAGACCAGCCAGCAACACCTCAGCACCACACTGATCACCTGAGCATCTCATTCATCTGGGTGAGCTTCTTTGCCATCTCGGGATGGTTGGGTCCATGTTTGTGCCCACAGTGGTCCACGCCAAGGAAGTGAGCAATCAGCACATCCCATTCACCACTGTCCACTGCAGAACAAAAGCAAACTTATCACACACCAGCCTGGAATTCTAAGCCTGGATCCTCCTGCCAAAATTTCCTGGTTGCCTCTGGATATTGTTATTTCTTACCCTCCTGCCACTGTCACTCTTGAGGAAATTGATGCAGGTTTTAAATCAGGCACACTCTTGGCCAGAGGTTCCTCAGTGCAATGGCACAGGGACGTCAAAGCCTGGAAAACATCCCAGGATCCCTGTTTTTTTCTCCCCATCCCTCAGGAGGGGAACAATACAAGGTCACCCAAGTCATCTTGAACTTACCTCAAACTGCCACAGACTGAGCTAAAAAAAAGGTATGCTCAGAAAAAGAAGAGCCCCAAACTCCCATCCTTCCCTGGAGATATTGTAGGTTGGACTCAGTGTGCTCCTCTGCATCCCAGGACATGACCATGACACAACAACGCAGTCCCTAGCTCGGAAGTTACCCTGGCCTCTCCCCTCTGCTTCAGGGTCTTGACACATGAAAACCAACATATTTGAAGTTAAAGGATGACCTACAACTCTCACACAAGGCACACAGACTTGCCTCTGAAAGGCTGCTGCACTCCTGATTTGCTTACATTTAGACACAGAAAAATGAAAGAGCATTCCACTTGGTCCCAGGACCACAGGGAGGTGGGAATCACCTATTTCATGTTTCATCTTCTTCCCATGACTAAGAAGCACCAATACTTTGCTGAGGGCACTGCTGTGTCTCAGCCTCCTAACTTGTGTTTTCCCCAGAGCATTGTGTGCCTGCCTAGGAAGCCATGTGTCAAAGTTAAGGTGCTCCTCTGTCTCCATCCTGCCAGTGTATTTTGTAAGACAGCTGTAGAAGTCTAAACTCATCCCAGAAAAGCTGAATTCCGTCCCAGACAGAGAAAAGATATCTACAAAAATGGTCTGTGGGCTCCAAGAGCTGGCTTATCTGTGGAAATCCAGCTAGAGCACTGTAATCCTTGGGCAGCAGTGTGTAACAGCCCAGTGCTCCTTTGTAACAGAAAAAAATCCTCCAGCCCTACCTCAAATTTGCAGTAGGAATACCACAAGGCCCTGGTGAGAGATCTACTTACCAGTTGGATAGAGATGCTGCAGGATCCCATCATCCACAGTGTGAAGATCCTTTACGTTAAAAGAAGGGAAGAAATAGGAACGGAAGAACTTCTTTGGGAAGAGTCCTTCCCATGTATCATCACCCATGAAGACCACTCTCCTTCCTGAGCCAGAGAGAAAGGAACGAATGAGAGATGGAGCCCTCCTGAGTCATGCTGCTACCACAACAATCCAAAGAGCCTGAGCAGGCCCACGTCAGGATTTGGAGCAATGGTTCTTCTCTAACCCACACCCAAAACTAAAATTTTCACTAAAAAAAAGACCATCTGTCTGCAAAATACTTTGAATACAGGGAGGGACCAGTCTACGAGTATCTGTAAGCTGTGTCATACCCCTACAACAAAGTCACTGCATAACCTCAGGACTTATTGCTGATCTGACACATCACCCCTGCAGAAAGGCTCTTGGGCCACCACAACACAGGTGGGTGCACAGGGTGCAGCATTAAGCAGACAAAGCCTCACCTGAGGCCCGTGACCCCACTGCAAAATGCAAGGCAGCAGGTGATGGAGGAGAAGATGTGAGTCCTGAGTTCTGGCGTTTAAAAACAATTTTCAGACATGGAAAAGAGAAGGCAAAAGCACTGATGCTTCCCTCTGCCCTTGCTCTCCTTGCCCTGCCTGCCATCAGCCAGCTGTATTTCCACAGAGCCTTTTCAGCCTGGAAGCAAGGAACATTTTCTCTGAGACTGCTACTCTGGCACAGGATCTCTGGTGATCACCATCTTCATTTTACTTCAGGTGATTCACTACATTTGCCCACCTTGCTCACTCAAAGTCATGTTGCCTTAGCCCATTGTGAGCCTTGGGAGGAAGTCTCTCTGGGTAACAAACCACTGTGGCCTGCCCTCTTCCCTCTACACTGTAACAAGCCCTTTACAGCAGAACTAAGCACCCCCTAGCAGCATCAAACCACAATGAAAATGCGATGAGGTTGCTGTCTCATGCCTGCAGGCAGCTGTCCAGGCAGGCTGGCTGCCTGAGGGACACCCCCACAGCACACCTGGCACCACCTGGCACACCTGGCTCCTCCCCTGTCACGTGCCTCACACAACACAACCTTGGCAATCCTACAGGGATTCCTGGGGGTGACCTTGGGACAAACACCACCAGTGTTGCCACTTTTGCCTGCTTTCTCATCATCCTTGAAGATGATGAAGTCATTGTTACAGCACTTCTCATCTCATTCCCAACCCATGTCCTGCCTGCATGACAACCCTGCCTTAAGCAATTGTCACAAAGCAGGATAAAGAATCAGCTCACAGGGTGGATCTGTTGTAAGGGGTGCACTTCCCAGGGAGAAAGTAATCAAGATTTGGAATACAGGTTAAACTGAGCAGAGCATGTGCCCTGCTCCACTGGGCTGCTGCCCTGCCCACAGAGAATCACAGAATGTTAAGAGATTGGAAGGGACCTTAAAGATCATCCACTTCCAAGCCCCATCCCATGGGTAGGATGGGATCACTAGATCCCACTAGATCAGGTTGTCCGAGGCTTTATTCAGCATGGCCTTGAACGCTGCCAGGGATGAGGCATCTACAACCTTCCTGGGGATCCTGTTTCAGTGTCTCACCACCCTCATAGTAAAGAATTTCTTCTTCATGTCTAACTTAAACTTCTCCATCAATTTTTACCCATTCCTCTTCATTCTATTGCTACAGTTCCTGACAAAGATTTAATTTCCAGCTTCACTGTAGGTCCCCTTCAGGTACTGGAAGGCTGCTATGAGGTTGCTGTACAACCTTCTCTTCTCCAGGCTGAACAGCCCCAGACACAGAATCATCAAGGTTGAAAGAGACCTTAAAAACCATCCATCCAATCATCCACCCACCACTATAAACCCCAAACCACACCATGCAGCACAAGATCTGAGAGTCTCTTAAGCACTTCCAGGGATGGTGACTCCACCATTTCCCTGGGCAACCTATTCGTATAGCTGTGAAAAAATGGTTTTTTATATCCACTCTGAAACTCCCTCGCCTGAGCTAAAGGCCAGGAACTCACCATTCTGCACCAGCTGTGCCAGCAGGTTGTCCTCCTGGATGGCGTAGGAGGCAAAGTTGCTGCCCACGTCGATGAAGGTGGGCAGCGAGCCGGTGGTGAGGCCCTTGATGCGCTGCATGGTGGCCGTGGGGGGGTCGGCTCGGAAGCGGTAGAGCCGGGCATGGCGGGGCTGGGAGGTGGCCAGCTGGTGCAGGACACCCAGCTTGTTCTCGTAGGGCAGTGGGCTGGTCTTGGCGGGGTCAAAGTGGGCAAACTCAAAATGGAGAGCGTCAATGATGATGAGCACGGCCTTGGAAAAGCGTTGGGGAACCCAGCAGGAGCCTGGTGGGAGGCTCTGCCTCTCCCAGAGTGGAGGCACGACCGGGTCTGAGCAGGAACTGCTGCTGGCAAGCTCGATCCGTGTGAGCAGGAAGCCGCTCATGAAGAGCCCGATACCGGCAAAAAAGAGAAGGCAAACCCAGGCCAGGAAAAGCACCACTGGCCACCGCTGCATCCTAGAGGGAAGGACAGGCAGGTTCAGCCCCAGCGGCTCTACCTGGGCAGACACCACTCCCTCCGTACCGACACCCATCCCTGGCCCAGCACCTCCCACACCCACCCAGCCCGCCTTGACTTCCCTTGGTCCCACTCCGTGTCCGGCAACTGCCCCACGCGCTTCCTTGTATCCCCTCCCGGACGGAGCTGAATCCTGCTCCCTCCCGACTGCCCAGCGCTGCCCGGCACCCCCAGCCCCCTCCCGACACCCGCATTCCCATTCACACACGCCCAGCCCCCACCCACGCCGCTGTGTCCCCCACGCCCCAGCCCCTCACAGCGCCTTTCTGATCCCCGGCCCACCTGACCCCGGCCCACCTGCGGCGCCCGGCGCTCCCGGAAGCGCCGCGCCTGGCGCCGACCGCGCTGGAGCGGCACGGCGGGGAGCGGCCTGCGGCGGCAGCGCCTCCTGGCGCCCAGGAGGTCTCAGCGCGCCTCCCGCCAGGCCAGGTGCGCTCGCAACGGCGAAAGTGTGGTTTTAATTAATCAAATAATTAATTAATCGACAGAAGCACTCCCGGCCCTGTGCTGGGCGATGTGAGGAGCTCGCTGTAGAGAACACAGTCATACACTGTAGGGGCAGCTTCTGGGAGCAGACAGAGGACAGGATGATGAGAGTAGCTGACACTCCCAGAGAGGCGATGCACTGGGAGAGGTATCCTTCGTAAGAGTGGGGTTTCCAAATTCACAAATCATAAAACAGCTTGGGTTGGAAAGGTACCTTGAAGATCATCTAGTTCCAACCCCCCTGCTGTGAGCAGGGACACCTTCAACTTGATCAGGTTGCTCAGAGCCTCATCCACAACTTCCCAGAACAACCTGTGCCAGCACCTCACCATGCTCACAGATTTTTTTCTTAACATCGTTTTTCACTCTTATATGTCACTGCATATCCATGGGAAATCCCAGCAGAAGCCTGCTGAGGAGGGATGATCCCCCTTTGGCATTGAATGCTAGGGTCAGGCACCCAAGCATGAGGGAACATGCTGCAGCAGTACTGTTACCATTTATTACATGATTTAAATCCAATACAAAATAGGGACTAAGGGAACAAGATTGACTGCCTCCAGCAGAGCAGGACTGCTGGCAGGCCTCAGGAGAGGGTATGAGATCCTTCCAGCCCTGTTAGCTGGAGCTGCTCTGTTCTGCCTTCAGCACCTCTGTGGCAGGAGAGTGGGAGTTCTCCTGGGCTGGGGGCATCTCATCTTGGGTCTTCACAGCTTGTGGCTTGGTCAGTGTAGTGTAGATCCCCAGGGCCTGGAGGGAATGAGACAGTCATAGGGAGGGAAGGAGAGGAGAGGGCCAGGCCCCACCCTGATGGCCTCTTCACCTCCCTGGAACAATCCTCACTTGGGTGAGAGCAAGAACAGCTTGGGTTGGAAGGGATCTCAAAGATCTTTTTCATGCCCCTCCACACCCCGCACTGGAGCAGGTTGCTCAGAGCCCCATCCCACCTGACCACAAACACTTCCCAGGATGGGGCACCCACAGCTTCTCTGAGCAACCCCCTCAGCCTTTCCTCACAGCCAGCCAAGGTGCTCCCTCCCTCTGATGATCTTGGTGGCCTCCTCTGGGCTGACTCCATTGGGTCCCTGTCCCTCCCGTGCTGGGAGCCCAGGGCTGGATGCAGTGCTCCAGGTGGGTCTCAGCAGAGCAGAGGGGCAGAATCCCCTCCTTCCCCTGCTGCCCACGGGGCTCTGGACGCAGCCCAGGACACATGGGCTACACTGACCTGTGCAACCATGTTGGTGACATCGCCGGTGTTGGCAGGCAGCAGAACAGTGTTGGAGTCTTTGGCAATCTTGGAGAAAGCGTTCACATACTGCTCTGCCACAGACAGGGAGGCAGCAGCATTGCCGTGCTGGGGACAGAGGGACAAGTCACGTACCACCAACAGCTCATCCCTGCCTGTATCCCCAGCCCACCCCAGTCCAGCAAAGATCCTCACTCCCTGCTGCTTCCGAAGGTGCCAGGGAGTGTCCAGGAGAAAACCAGATGCCACCCTACCTGCAGTTTCACCTCCCCCAGTGCCAGCACCAAAGCAGTGGCTGCTCCAGGTAGCCATCACTCACCTGCTGTGCCAGAGCAGCGGCCAGGAGCTGAATTGCCTCTGCCTTGGCCCTGGCCTTGACCAGCATGGCATTTGCTTCCCCTGCAAAGAACCACAGCAAGGTGCACATCAGAATCACGACAAAGCACTCACAAGGACTGAATCCCAACCATCTCAGGGAGTGAATCAAGACAATTTCAATCCACGCATGGTTGGATTTTCCCCAAGAGCAACACTATTGCAAGCCTCCTGCTTACAGGAGGTTGGGGCAGGACAGCAACATCAACTGGAGCTTAGCCTGAGGCCCCAGGAGGGAAGAATCAGTGGCTGAGGAAGCCTGGGTCACAGCGATGCAGTCTCCCCCACAGCACCACCCCTCAGTCCAGAGGACTACAGAAACCCACATTTTATCCCCAGGCACTACCAGCAGCTTTGTTGATCTGTTCAGCCTTCTCAGCTTCTGATGCCAAGATCTGGGCCTGCTTCTGGCCTTCAGCCACATTGATAGCTGACTCCCTCGTCCCCTCTGACTCCAGCACAGTTGCCCGTTTCCGTCGTTCTGCCTCCACCTGCAAACACAGGTCAGACACCAGCCTGCCATGGGCGTGATGAGGAAATACCATCTTTGGGGCATTCATGCTCCTCTGTTCTGCTGGGGGAAGCATGGCTTAGCAAAGCATGAAAATACAGCTACAGAACACTGTGTGGTCTTGGCAAGGGCTAGTTCTGCTCCTCATGCCACACAGCCCTTCCAGCCCCATTCCCACCTAAGTGGACAGTTCCTTCCCTCTCCTCCTATTCCAGCCCAAATATCTGGTGTCTAGCTTTTCCCAAGGTGTCCAGTTTTTCTCAAATCTCAGCTCTGAGATTTGCTTCTCCACAGATTGGATTTTAAAGGGACTTGGCAGGGCTTGTATGTAGCAGGCAGGGGCCAATACCACAAAAATTATGACAGGAGTTACTGGTTCAGTAGCTATATGTCTGCAGCCAAAGTGCCCTTCTGAACAAGGGGTGGCTGCTGCCAGCTATGGACAGGTAACAATAATGAACCACAGCCCTTATCAACAATAGTGTGGCCAGCAGGACCAGGGAAGTGATTTATCCCCTTGTACTCAGCACTGGGGAGCCACGCTTTGAGTCCTGTGTCCAGTTCTCGGCACCTCAAGAGGGACATTGAGATGCTAGAGTGTCCAAAAAGAGCAATGGAGCTGGGGAAGATTTAGAGCACAAGTCTGATGAGAAGTCCTTGAGAGAGCTGGGGTTGTTTAGTCTGGACAAGAGGAGACAAGGTCTTGAGAACAGACCTGATCACTCTCTGCAACTATCTGGAAGGAGGTTGCAGTCACACAGGGGTTGGCCTCTTCTCCCAGGTAGTCAGCAACAGGATGAGAGGACACAGTCTCAAGCAACACCAGGGGAGGTTTAGGTTGGACATTAGGAAGAATTTCTTCACAGAAAGGGTGATTAGACATTGGAATGGGCTACCAGACAGGTGTCAGTGACACTGTTTGTGGAGATCTTTAAGCAAAGATTGGACTTGGTGCCGTGGTCTGGTAGACAAGGTAGTGTTTGTTCATAGGCTGGGCTTGATGAAGTCTTTTCCAATCTTATTGATTCTGTGATTCTATAATGCAGTATGGAAGAGGAAGCTTCCCTCTTGTTCCAGAACCCCCTCCCAGAGAGCCTCACCTGCATCTGCATGGATTCCTTCACACGTGGGGGCACGTGGATGTCCTTGATCTCGTAGCGCAGACACCGGATGCCCCAGCAGTCTGAAGCCTGGTTGATGGCATCCACAATGCTGGCATTGAGGGACTCCCTCTCCTGGGAGGCACAGAAGAAATGGCAGAGAGCAGAGAAGGGTTTAGCATGAGAGAGGTCAGGAGGAAAACAGACACCTCCCTTACAGGCCAAGGTCTGCCAGAAAAAATCACCTCCACAGGTTTCGGGCAGGGTTAGGTGCTTCCTGCAGCTGCTGAAGGGGTCACCAACTCCTAGGGAGAGCAGTGCCTCACACTGAAGCTGCTGGGATACAACATCTGAATACTAGAGAATGCCAGCAACTCCAGTTTCTTCCCAGCAAATGCAGTACAAGGATTACAGCACCCCATGACACAGGTCAAGGATATTCATCACTGGGGCTGAGCAAAGAGTCACTGACTCAAAAAAGGCGGCTAGAACCAGCTGGGTCTGGGCACATACCACCCATCATCCCCTCCAAATAACCCAGGGCAGGGCAAAAAATAGCTCCCGTTGAAAAAATCAACTGAAAGAAGACCCATCTCCAAGGATTCACCAATAGGTCAACTGAAACAGAAGCCATAAGCCCTCTAAGCAAAAGGGCATTTTGCTGTTAGGCATAGCAGCCTGGCCATGCAGGCTGTCCTGGGATTTTGGGAGACACTGTCAGCTCTGTGATCCACCTCCCCAGCTCACCCGGAAGACTCTGTCAAGGGAAAGTTTGCCAAGTTCAGATCTCATGGTAGTCTGGGCCAGCTGGGTCACTGCGTACTCAGGATCTTCCACCCCGTAGCTGGCCTGAAGAGCAGAAGCACAAAACAGAGTGGATAGGGATGCCAAGAGGGACCCTGAACAAGGCAGGAGAGACAAACAGCACTGCAGCAAGGAATCTGCCAGACATCCCTGCTGAAAACATGGAGTCTGGAGCCTTGGGATGAGTCAGAGTGCCCAGCCCACCCGCCAGGCAGGACACAGAGGCTGGAGTACACATTTTGGGGAGCAGGGAGTGGGCAGAGCCAGAAAAAACGTGCCCAAGGGGCAGGGATGGTACCTTGTAGGGGTCCATAACCCGCAAGTAGAGCACACCATCGATCTGCAGGGTGACGTTATCTGTCAGGAGAGAACAGCAGAGCCTGTTTAGTGAACCAGCACAAACAAAACACAGAAACCCCCTCTTCCACAGCACAGCTGGGCAGGCTCATCCTTTTTCACTGTGACATATCAGCATGATGCAGAAGAGGATTGGCTGAAATAGATCTTCCTATCTAAAGGCTTTGTAAAAAGGATCTTACATTCCCTGGACAACACTATGATGTTTTGAATGTACAACAGGTCTTGATTTTCCCAATAGAAGCATTTCACACTGTAGCCCTTGTAAATAAAGATTTAAGGAGGAAAAAACCAAAACAAACCACTTAAAACTGGAAATATAACAGAGATGTCCATTAACATCAGATTCATTAACCTATTCTAAAATGTTTTTAACAGAAACAGGAATTTCTTTTGTGGTTTGATAAAGGAAAACACCTGAAAAAAATATTTCTGGTCAGGTGCAGTCAACTCAGCAAGAAGGGGCAGTTGCAGCCCAGAGAGAGCAGATGGAACTTCCTGGGCTGTCCCTACTCACAGCAACAGCCTTCCAGTACCTAAAGAGAGCTGGAGAGGGACTTTTCACATGGAAAAATGGAGAGGAGAGGGACTTTTCACATGGATGGAGGGTAGGCTTAGATTAGATACTAGGAAGAAGTTCTTTACTGTGAGAGTGGTGATGCACTGAAGTAAGTTGCCCAAAGAAGCTGTGGATGCCCAACCCCTGGAAGCATTCAAGGCCAGGCTGGACAGGGCTTTGAGCACCCAGCCGAGTGGAATGTGTCCCCCATTAATGGTAGGGGGGCCGTAATGAGACCAACTTTAAGGCCCTTTCTAACCCAAATCATTCAGTGATCTTGTGATTTTATGGCCAAGCCTGGGTACCAAGGGACAGGGCTGAGTGCAAGAGCTTGGGACAATTCCATTCATCTTCACATCGTCCCTTGCTCACCCCAGATGCAGCAGAAGGAAAGGGGCAGGACATGGAAGCTGTTCCTCACCCAGTGTGACAGCTGACTGCTCTGGGACATTAATGACGATTTCTTTGAGACTCTGAACGTAACGAATCCGATCCAGGAGAGGGATGAGGAAGTTCAAACCCTGGGAAAAGGGTGGGATTAGATGGCTGATGCACTAGATAGAGTCCCACAAAAAAAGCCCATGACACACACTGCAAACATGTTTTACACACAAGGAATTTCAGTAGCTCAGTGCTTTTAATGCCCCACCAAGGAAAATTAGTCCACAGGCAGCCAAAAGGATTTCAGCCTGGGAAACGAAGCCCACCACCCCTCTTGGATCCTCGTGCAAAGGACTCGCCTCGCTACAGCTTTAGGAACCTGCTGAATCCAGAAGGGGAGAAAAGCTGCTCCTTACAGGCTCAAGAATTCGGTGGAACTTGCCCATCCTCTCCACTACCCAGGCCTCCTGCTGCGGCACAAAGAGCACCCCGATGTTCATGGGCAGCCCGGAGTTCCAGCGGCATGGAGCTGGGGCCAGCCGTGCCGCACACTTCAGCTGCTGGGAGTGCTGGGGGAAGGAGATGGAGCAGGGTTGAGATCAGCTGCTGGCACCTCAGCTCCACACCTGTTATCCCATCTGGGCTCATGACCAGGACACCAGGACAGGAAACAGGCAGGAAACAATGCCCCTAACAAGCCCATGCTGTAAGAGTGTTCCCACAGGAATGTGACCTGTGTGCCAGGGACAGTCTCCTCCACTGGTGCAGGGGGGCTCACTCCCAGAGCTTTTTGCTCATCTCCACTCCTCTCACATCCACCCTGAAGCGGGGAATAAAGCCTCCCTGCCACCATAAGGGCAATGAAGGTGTGGGCACAGGGGTCTCTTCTGCTCCACTCAGCCCCCATAACCCATTCAGGCCCACTCCCCCACCTCAGCCCCAGGCCACCCCTTTCCAACAACCTGTCCCTCCCCAGTTCTGGCTGCCTCCAGGGCTTCCCACAAAAAGCTGTTTTGTCCAGGCATTCCCTCACTCTCCTCTCCAAAGACAAGGGTCTCACACAGCTTCTCTCAACCTCTCCACTCCCAACCCAGCTCACACCTCCACAGCCCCACACATCCATTTCTCCTACAACAACCCAGCCGCACCTCACCACTCCCCATGTTCAGCCACCCCCCACTGGCCCCCCTCATACCCATTCACCCACAGCTTCCTTTGCAATGCCTCTCTGTACCCCAATCCCTGCCCAGGTCACCACCACCATCCCAGCACTTCCACAGACCCCCAAAACTCCCTCCAAAGACCCCTCTCAGTCCCCCTCATACTGCCACTTGTCTTCTGCACCCCTCCTCCTCACACCTCCTTCTCTGCCCAGCTCCTGCCCATGCACAGTGTTCCTCAAACCCTCAGCACTACCACCCCACCGAACCCCACCCTCCTTAGTTACCTCCTCACTCATCTGTCCTCTGCACCACATCCCTCGCTCTCCTTACTCTCTATCCCTGTCCATTCCCCTGCCCGCACCAGAGCTCTTCCCAGCCCCAAACACTTCCCCCCCGTCCCCACCACCAACCACCCTCTTCAGCCTCTCTATACCTGTCTGTTCTCTACCTCACCGCCTCGCTGTTCACCTCTGTCCCTGCCTGGCTCTCCCCAGACCCGCCGCACTCCCCCACTGCCCCTGCTCAATCCCCATTCCCGTTTGTCCACTGCACACCGCACCACACCCCTTCCCCCGGCACTGCCGACACCGACACCGAGCTCCCACCAACTCTCTCTCAGTTCCCCCGTACCCCTTTATCTTTTTCACCCCGCCGTGCTCACACAGCCCTCTTCCTGCCCAGCTCCTCATCACCACCCCAGCACTTTCCCGGAGCTCCAACACCACAGATCGCCGGTATCTCCTCAATCCCCCGGTACCCATTTGTCCGCAGCTCCCCGTAACCCCGCACCCCCAGCCCCTGCACAACTCCCCCTCGCCTCTTTCTCCGACCCGCGAAACCGCCGCCCACCAAACATCACCTCCGAACCCCCCCGCCGGTCGGTCCTCTGTGTGCCCCGACACCGCTTTACCCCATCCCTGCCCCACTCCCTTCCAACACTTCCCAGACCCCCAACACCAACCCCTTCATCCCCGTGCCCCCAGTCCAGATCCCTTCTCCTGGCCCCTCCAGCATCCGCTACCCGGACCTTCCCCACGTGGGCACCCCCCGAACGGGGACGTCTCCCCGTTCCCGGCCCACCCGCCCTCACTCCCCGCACCTGCAGCAGCCCGAGGCCGGGCCGGGCCCGGATCCCCGCCCGCGACAGCATCGCCGCCTCCGCCCGCCCCGCTCGGGCCCCGCTCGGCGCTCCCGGAAACCCCCTGCGCCGCGCCGCTTCCGCCTGCGCCGCCCGCTTCGGCCCCTCCGTCTCCTCCGACCGCGACCGCCGGTTCCGCCCGCCCGCGGTTCCGCACCAGCCCCTTCGGAGCGCGGCTGCGGACTCTTTCAGGCGCTCCAAACGGACGTTTATTAAATTAGAAACGAACACGAAAAGTACCGGCACGGCCCTCGCAAGCCCGCAGGGCCACGGCGAGAGGGGCAGCCCCGGTGACCTGGGGGCGAGGAGGACTCTGGTGTCACGGCGGTCCCCGGGAGCCGCTGGCCAGGGCAGCTGGGGAGCGGCCCCGGTGTTGGGGGGTTCAGACCCACAGCCTGCGGGATTCAGGGCCCCGGTTTGGGGGTTCAGACCCACAGCCTGCGGGATTCAGGGCCCCGGTGTTGGGGGGAGTGGCCCCCGGTGTTTGGGGGGTTCAAAACCTCCGTTTGGAGGGTTCAGGCCCCCAGTGTGAGTATATGGACATTTTCAGGCTTTACAACGTGAGTGCAACAGGGCCGGAGCCCCCGGCTGCCCCCGGGCAAGGCAGAGCACAACCTCGCCCCAAACCCCCCATTCCTGGCCCATCCCCATACGGAGCTCCCGGCACTGGGGTCTCGGCCTCAGCGGTGGGAGTGATGGGGTTGGGCCTGTCCCCCTCTTGGTCTCTCTGATGGAGGGGCTGAGGATCCATCTCCACAACCTGTGCTGGCCAGGAAGCCTTGCCGAGATCCTCAGAGGGCAGAGAGGTGAATAGACAGGGAATGTGCAAGCTTGTTTTACCCTTGGCCCTGTCTCTCTGACTGACTGCCCCAGTCTGGATTCTCCCAGTCCTGCTCCTCATGAACCAGCCCAGCTCCTAGAGTTTGATTTCCTCTGTTGCTTCCCCATTACCCCGTTTTTCTAAGCAGGGGCTCCTGACCATCGTCCGACCTCTGATCACCCTGCCGGCAGTCCCTGCCCAAAGCTGTCTCCTGCATGGGATTCACCCCACACCCACAGACAGTGCAAAGTTCCTTTTTTTTTTTGGCAATTTCAGATTCACAGCTCACGTGCTCTGGAGGCTCTTGCCCAGAGGGCTATCCCCATATTCCTGCAAAGAGCTCCAGGTCCCCATCCACGTGGCAGCTGTGTCTCTTACCTTCAGGAACCTGGCAGTTGCCACTTTCTTGACAGCCATAGGTCTATTGGGCTCTGGCTTGCTCTAAAAGACTCCGAAGATGAACACAGGCCTCCGCAAGCTGCTTGGAGTTGGGCTGGCCCTGCAAAGCTGATGCCAGGAAGGCTTAGCCTGTCACTGGGCTTTTAATACACTCCTTACCTGAGAGCTGCACTCTGTGTGAGCACTGGGTCACTCTCCCTTCCATGGGCTGAGCTATCCCTGTCCCTAGTCATCCTCACAGTCCCCACAGCCCTGCCCAAACACGGGCAGCCTGGTGCAGGCAGGGCTGAGGGGAAGAATAAGCACAGCACCTCTGATCCTCTGCACAAGCCTCCTCTGCGCTCCCAGCAACAATAAATACTAATAAATACAAACTCTTCCACACTTCCTGCTCCCAGACCCGAGACCAGCGTGGATGGTCTCACTCACAGCTCCAGTCCAACTCTTCACACCCACCCACCTCAGCCACAGCCAAGTCTCCAAGCTGGGAACAGTGCCAGCAGAAGGCTTGGGCATGTCCCTGGAGTGCCAGGGCTGCTCCTAAGCCCCTGCCCATCTTGGTGAAGCCCCCTGGGTGTTCCCAGCCCTGCTGCAGAGCGTGGTGTCCATGCTGGTCAGGAAGGTGGGTGATATCTCAAAACAGTGCTTGCTGGCCCTTTACTCATCTCTCCCCAAAGCGCTGGGCTGGAGGCTCCCAGTGGCTCTGGGAGCAGGAGTGAAGAAGGTCAGGCCCTGGGTGAGTAGCAGGGGTTCCGCGGCATCTCTGTGAAGGATTTCAGTTCATAGGGGATCCCCGAATCCACCTCGATCGACTTGCGGGAGAAAAGCAGCCGAATGTCGTCATGAAGGTAGATCTTCCCTGACTTGGAGCTGTGAAACCTGTGTGGAGACGAGCAGGGCAGAGGGACCTCAGGCTCCGCGGGCAGGGCATCCTCAGTGAGGACACAATCCCCTTGACTACTTTGGTTCCTGGTCAAGGTAGCCTCCCTCTGGTTGCCTTCAGAGGGACAGAGACAGCTGCCCTTGGGTAGGGTGGCAGTTCCAACCTCCCCAAAGGAGCAGCCGGTCCCTGCGACTCCCCAGTCCCTCCTGTCTTGCAGGCTTGGGACATGTCAGAGAGGAGACAGGGGTGAGCTGCGACAGGTGCCCATCCCCCTGGCATGCTTTACCTTAGATGCATCAGGTAGCAGAGAACCCTGCGGGGTGGGCTGGTGCCCAGTGGGTCACTGGGAGCCACTGTGGACCCCTCCTCCTCCCCCACGGGCACCAGGAAGATGCGATGGCGTAGGAAGGTCATGTGGTTGGCCGGCATGTCCTGGAAGTCGTACGTCACCAAGAACATCTTCACCACAGTCTTGTTGGGGTTAAATAAGGTCTGGGGGCAGAGGGGTAGAGGGTGAGACTGAGAAGGATGCAAGGCAGAGATGGGGCATCTGGAAGCAAGAACTACTGGACCAAGGATCCAGAAAGCCCCACACAAATCCTAGAGGGCTTAGCCTGAGTGTCACAGGTCCTTTCCACCCACCTTCACACCTGTGCCCCTCTTCCATCACATCCCATTCCAACTGCACGTATGCACTTTCCTGCCAAAATCCTTACCCACCCCTTCCTTCCCTGATTTTCCCATTAGCTTGTCTCCCTGACAGCACCCTAGGTACCCTGCGCTCCCCTCTGCTATGCTGTCTTCGTGGCCATGTAACCTCTCTGCAGGAGACACCCATTCCAGCTGCTGCCCTGCCTAATAATGTCATGGAGCACACCGTCCCCTCCAAGCAGGGCAGCCAGAGCCCAAGCAGCCCCATCCCCACAGTGCTACTGCAGGCCAGGGAATGACTCACCACTTGGATGGTTCCAGCTTTGGGGACACTGTAACCCTTCTTTCCCAAGGCCTCCAAGTCAATCACTCCCTGGGGCAAAATAAACAGCATGTGAGAGAGGGAGAAAGCTGAGGAAAAGCCTAGCTGGGAACCAGCATGGGACTGAGACCCCTTGCTGGGAATACTTGGCACGAGTCAACAAGAAGACCCCCAGCTCAGCCCCTCTCCAAACAAGGAGCAGAAACAGCGAGGTGGTGACAAGAGAGGTGATGATAATGACAACCATGAAGCAGCAAGGCCAGTGTATGTTTCCCTCTTCTTTCTCTTTTTGTTTTTAAAGACCGCTTCTGGCACAGGCAGTCGTCTCCACAAGCAGGTGGTTGCTTGAGCCACCCTCTACAGTGACAGGTCCCCCACATGTCAGGGTACAGCCCGCTCAGCTCCTCCACATCCATGTACCAGGAAAGGTGAGGGTGCGTTGTGTTCAGAGATGTCGAAGTAGGTGACGTCGACAGGCAGGGTGACATGCTGGGGACAGTAGGAGCCACTGGCACCAATCTCTGCTGTGAAACCCTCGATCCTCCCTGACGGTGCAAAGCGCCCCTTCAGGATGGACTCCTGAAAGGGAGGGAAGCATTAGGGAATCTCAAACATCAGCCTACCCCCTGCCTCAATGCTCCAGGTGAAGTCATCCCCATCTTCACTGCACCCAGCTGGCTGCTTGCCCTCATGTGCCCAGAGACCTCAATCTGAGACAGACCCACCCTGGACTGCTGGGACTACACCAACCATCTAACAGGAACAAGCAGTGAGAGTGCCTTAGCTCAGCCTCGCAGCACCTATCTCAGCAGGTTCTACCCAAAGATCTGCTGTCTGAGCCATGCTGCTAGTGGGTCTGTGTGATGGCAACTGCACGCCGGGCCTTTTGGGGACAATCAGCCCAGCCCAGCCCCACATCAGGGCTCCCATCAAGTTCAGCCTCCACACTCCACCCTGTGTGGAGCCCCTGGGACCCACCGCCCCCCAGCAGACAAGCACTGTTACCTCAAAATTGCCCAGCAGAGCATGGCTGACAGTGGTGGTGGTCCAGGGCACTGTGGGGAACCTAGTGCCCCTCCGGAGGCTGGTCCGGAGATGTCGCCTTGGAGTGAGGAGAGAAGACTGGTGTTGGACTGAAGAGCACACAGCCCTGGGTTGTTCATGTTGCTGGGAAAGTGGATCGCTCTCCAGGTCCCCTGTACCTTTGCTAGGGGTTGAACCCACTTCTATCCCAGGGGAAGAAGAAACATCACCCCCCACCCCAATCTGTGCCCTTATGGAGGGTAGATACCTGGGCCAAGGCAGGGAAGAGGACTCAGCCCAACGTGAACCTCCCATGGGGCTGCAGGTCACTGAGGTGGGCAGGCACCCTGAGCCCCCATGTCCATCCCACAGGGCTGCCAGGATACTCACGATTTGAGACGCAGCCCACTCTTCAGCCTCCTCCCAACCACAGTGCAATCTGAAGAGCTCTGGAGGGGACATGAAATGGAGAACCATGTTAGGGCAGCAACCAGAGCCCATGCACCCCTGGGAGGTGCCACTGTCCATTGCCCTGCCCCATATTCCCATGAGGGCCCCAGCAGATGGGATAGGCTCCTGTCCTTGGGAAGCCATCAGTGTCCTCTGAATGGCCAGCAGGGCAGCACAAGGACTGGAGTGTCTGTTGGGGATATGGGGCTGCCCAAACCTTGAAGTGGCTCAGCTGGGAATGAGGGTATTGGTACCCAAGGGTACACACTGTTCCCTCTTTACAAAACAGGTCTCAGGAGCAGCCCCAGTGACAAGACACCTGTAGACAGAGCCATGCAATGACACCACCTTGCACCTCCCAGGGACTGGTGACACCTACAAGGACACTCCTTGACCAGCCTCAGAAAAGTTCTGTCCCCTGGTGATTCATGCAAAGTCCTCAGCAGTGCCACCAGGCAGAGAGGCGTGTTGCCCACCCCTACCCACAGCTAGGATTCTACAGCTGTGGGGTGGGGAGGGGTGGTTAAAGCCACAGTCACACTGCAGCCTCCTTTTAAAGATGTCCCTTTTTCAGGGGCTTTCCCTTCTGGAAGCCACACAAAGGGTAGCACAACAGAAAGGGATGATGGAGCTGGCTGGTATGATCAGGTGGGAAAACCCAGGGAAGGTGCTGGAGGGCTTCACTCTGCAACGACAGTGCTGGGGGCAGCTGGGCTGGGGGACAATCATGAAAAAGGCAGGCAGTGATGGAGCTGTGTGCCATGGATGGTGTGTCCCAGCCCCAAGCAACAAGAAGCCAGGGTAGCTCTGACATCAGTTCTTGTGGGTTCCCATACCATGGAATGCCCCAGATAAAAAGAAGGTGCCAGGTCTGGCCTGAACCTGCTGCAGTCTCAGCTGGCAGACAGGGGGCTGATAAGAAGAGCAGGGTAACAAAGGAGGAATCAGAGGCAGCTCCTGAGCTGCTAGGAAGGGTTGCAAACCTCACAGGTCTGCTCCATTGCTGAGAGTTTGTGACACCTTGGGGACATGCCACAGGCACCCCAAAATGGCAGAAAAGCCAGTGTCATCTCGGCACGCAGCACTGGGCTCCTTGGTCAAAGCATGTCCACTCACACTGCCTGCTACCAGACACTTGCTCTAATGGGCATCATGGCCAGTTGAAGCCATCGCATGCATCTGCCTTCCTCCTCTTCAGGCAGGCAGAGGCCAGCCCTCTTCCCAAGCTTGCTGGTATATCATAGCTTAACATAAAGCCTTCAGACACCAAAAGTGGCTTCATGACATGTCCAGTTCTCACTGCCATGGGGAGGTTGTCTCCTGTCCAATCAAGGCTCTCCAGGAGAAAAAGCCAGTTGCATGCAGAGGATCCAGTGACTACAGGATGTCAAGAGCTGGTTAAAACAGACCATGTGTGTCAGGGCTGACTGCCAGCTGCTGCCTTGCTCACATCAGTACTGCAACTCAGGGACCAGACAGGGCATGGTGCCACACTGGACCACACTGCCCACAAGCACAGTCCTGAGCTCTGGGAATCCCCAGGCCATTCCCTCCTTCCCCATATGAGCAATGCTCACCTTGGCTGCAGGAAGCAGGTGATTCCAGAACGGAGCTCCCTTGGCATCAGTGCTGCGGCAGGCTGTGGGCACCGGATGGCATGGCAGGACCCTCTTCTTCCTTGCTGGTGGGGACTGGCTCTCATCCTCAGAGCAGGAGTCAGCCATAACCTCGCCAGCGGGCAGCAACTTCCTTTTGGCTGGGCAGGTGCCGCTGAGCTGGCTGCTCCCACAGGGTGTCATCTCCTGGGAGCTCAGGTTGCTGGGCTCGGGGCTGAGCACTGTCAGCAGAACTGGGGACTCCCTGCACCCATTGGCCACTGCTGGCCCTTCTGCTTCCCCGCTAGCCCTGCTGGTGTGAGCTGGGCTGCTCCCTGGCTTCTCTCTCTTCCCACCAGGGTCCAATTGGGTTGTTTGTGCAATACTGTGCAATTCAAGGTGAAGTACATTGTGGCCACTTGCTGGCTCCCCATTCTCTCCATAGTCTATGGGCTGATCCCCTGATGAGACAGGGCAACTGTCTCTCATGTGCAAAGTACTGCAAGCAATGTGCTGGGGCCAGGAGGAGGAGGAAGAGGAAGAGGAGGAGGAGAAGGAGGCATCCTGTGACTTGTCCTCTCTGCTGGCCTTGGGGCTGTGGCTAGGGCTGCCCTCACAGCGGTGCTCCACCACCCGCAGCCCACTGTGGGAGAAGTGCTGAGCAGAGCCGCAAAGGGAGAGCTCCTCCACAAGCAGACCGTCCTCAAAGGTATCATCATCATCCAGGGAAGGCTGCCCAGGGCCGCCATCCACCCCCCTGTCACCCCAGTGAGTTCGTTTGGGATCTCGACCCCCCTCCGGAGTTCGCTGCTCAGAGTATCCCCTCTTGACAGCTGGCCGGGTGCCTGCCCGCTGCTCTGTGCTCTCAGAGGAGCTGGGGAGATGGGAGAAGATGGACACCTGGTAAACCTTCTGGCGCTTGATCTCTGTCTCATTGTAGCCCATGAGGATGCTGCGGTGGGTGCAGCACTGTGAGGAAGGCTCCAAGGGTGTCTCCCCCCTGGGCCGGGACAGGCTGGGGTCTGTACTGTGCTCCGGGGGCAGAGACGTCTCTGTGTGGATGTGCCGCATGGAGTCTCACTTGCTAGGACTCCGAGTGGAGCCCATGCAGCAGCAGGAGGGAGATTGTAAAGTGCCACAGGTCAGGGTGAAAGGGCAGGGGGTGGGAGCTGGGCCCCCTCTCACTCAGAATCTTTGAGCCCTCTACTATGAGGTGGTCTGCAGCACAGCATCTGGAAAAAGAGAGAGAATGATGAGTAACAGCCTTGGACCTTCAACCTCGTCTAGGCTTCTGGCTGCAAGGGACCCACTGGCACACGGCTCCTCACATAGCCCACTTGAATCTACCTCTCCAGGGACAGGAAGAAGAACGAGGCTGATGTGCCTTTCTGGGAAGCCCTGAGGCATCACCCAACAGCAGGTTCAGCATGCCCTTCCTCGCCAAGGAGAGAAGTCTCCAGACAGGCAGGAGACACCTGTGGACAAGTCTGGACAGGTGGGGAGGAAGAGGCCTGCCCTCTGCCAGGACACGCTTGTGCTGTTGTGGAACACAGGAGTCAGGCAGGTCAGACCAGTCCCAGGGGCTCAGGCGTGTAATCACCCCTTTGTGCAACAGCAGCAACATCTCCCAGTGCTGGCCAAGACATCCTGCCCTGGCCATGTGCACTGAATGAGGCAGGGCTGGTGCCAGCCCCACAGCCCAACATCCCTGCTACCTCTGCCAACTTGGACCAGGCATCTCCAGCACCTCATTCAGCAGCTGGGAAGTACCAAGGCCACCATCCACTCACTCCTGCCAGCTCCAAGGCCTACCCTTCTCTGTGCAGCATGGTGCCTCACTTTTGATTTTCAGTCCAATTTGATTTGAGAGCAGTGTGAGAATCCTGTCCACATGTTGGTTTGTTTCAGGTATGAAAAATACTGAAATGGCTGCAAGAGCTGAGGAGATGCAGGAAAAGTCACCAGCAGACTGAAGACAAACTGCCCGTGCCTGGCAGCTCTGCCTTTTGCCTGTCTTTACAGCTGTGCCTGATCTTGTGGAGCAAGGGCTTAAGGGCAAGGGAGCAATAGGGAAATTTGTTCTCCAAGTGGATCAAGGCAATGTAGAGAGTGAGCTTGCATATGCTATTTTGACCCTGCTGGGATGTGGATGTGAAAATGGTAGGCCAAGGTGCTTGAGACTAAGGAGTCTGTTTAAAAGAGGTGACAAAAAGTATAACCATGCACCAGGATATGTTAGGGACTGACTGGATGGAAATCAGCACAATAGAAAAGGCCTTGGGGGTCCTGGTGGGTGCCATGTTGACTATGAGCCAGCAATGCACCTTTGCAGCAAAGAAAAACAATAGTGCACCAGGCTCAGGATTAACAGCAGGTTACAGCAGGTTAAGCAAACTGATCCTCCCTCTCTGCTCTGCGCTGGTGAGGTCACATCCGAGAGAACGCAAAACAGGGACACTAAAAAATTAAGAGAATATAGCATCTGTCCTATGAGAGCTGGGACTGTTCAGCCTGGAGAACAGAAGGCTCAGTGAGATCTCATCTAGATATCTAGATAAGGGGTTCTCTCTGAATATCAGAAAACATCATTTTGTTTTACCATGACCAAGCACTATAACCAGTTACCTAGAGAGGTTGCGGAATCTTCATCCTTGGAGATATCCAGAAGTCATGAGGACAATGTCCTGAGCACTGGCTCTAGGTGGGGCCGGTCCAGATAACCTCCAGATGTGCCTGTCAACCCCAACCCCTCTGTGTAGCCCACAACAGTGCAGCCCTTCCTGGCTGCTCCCCACACTTACTTACCCCTGCTTGTCTCTGGATTAACCTCCTTGCCCCGCAGCAGGCGGTCGTTGGCACAACTAGCTGAAGACGCCTGCCAGTCAGGCACCCCCCAGAAGCGGCGTGGCTGCCGTGGAATGGCTCCCACCATCACGGTGTGCCTCCAAACCTCTGCAATGTCCTCCCCAGCTCTTCAGTGTCCACAGTGGCTCTGAGGGGAAGGAAAGGGGGAGATGCAGGGCTGGGGTGATTCAGACACTTCCTGGGGGAAGGGCAGGAGGATGCTTCCTGTCTGCAGGGTCATGCAGGCAAGGATGGCAGCATTTAGGTTCAGCCTTTCTGAGCCTCCCAAATCAAAGGCCACATACATCTCAGCCACCTCAGGCAATGCTAACACCTTGATTTCCATTTAAACCACAAATATTTTAAGCTAGGCTGTGAACTCTCATACCTGGCTTCATCCCTTTTGCATGCCTTCCTGTATGAAACCCTGTGCATAGGAACAGATTCCTCTTTCTTTCTGGTGACCATTTCATGCTTTCCTTTCCAAGACACTGCAGCAACCTCTGGGCCTCCAGTTAGTTCCTGGTCTCATGTTTACCTCCTCCCCCTTCCACCCATAGCACAGGACACTTTCTGGTCCTACAGATAAGGAGAAGAGCTTCGAATTGTTTTCTTCCAATATGAGATGCCTGTCAGGGAAGGCAGAAATGAGGAGCCCAACAGCCCTGAGCTGTAATGGCCTCCCACCAGTCTTCCCCAGCACAAAGAAAGCAATCCTTTCATGTGCAGAACACTCACCTGTTCAGATGTGCCCTTGATGCACAACAGAGATTTGCAGATCCAACACAGCTCCCCTGTGGTCATAATCCACAGGCACTGCAGCTTTGATGCCTGTAAGAGGGTGTGGACAAGAGTCAGCTGAAGCAGCAGCTCATTGTGCAACACCTTCAGAGTGTGCAGGAGCCCTTGGGCACCTCCACCCTCAGCACCTCTGTGGCAGAGGCAGCTCATGGGCTTCACTATTGCAGGCGCCTCCAGCTAAAGAAGGAAATTGTGCCTATGCCTAGGGATCATGCCCTCCCCACCTCCCTCCTCATGCATCCCTCAAATGGGGACTCACTGCAGCACCCATCCAGTGGGAAGTCACTGTTTGGGCACCCTAAGCCAGCAGTGAGTACTGCTCTGAAGGCTGGAAACAGCAGGGCCAGGCAGATGAACAAAAACTCCAAATGGATGTTCAGAGGCAGCAACACTCAAGTGCAATCCCCTTCTGGCATCCTGGTCTGGCAAATTCTGCATCCCTGCAACTTGCATATCAGCAGTATCAGCTGTGCTCACTGCCTGACCTCACCTGCCCCAGAAAACAGTCTGTTCTTTCACTACATTTCCAATAAGATTTGTAATTACAGGTTGTCATGACCAGTCTCTGAGAGCTGGACAGCTCAAAAGCCACCACCACTGCTTGGGAAGGGTACTGCCAGCAACCAGCCAGAACAGGACCTGTTGAGATTCAATACAACTGCACCCAAGGAGCACTTGCAGCAGGGCAAATCAGTGCTGCAGCATGGCAAACCATGGGTCTAAATCCTCAATAAAAGCTTTGTGTAAAGATCAGATCCTCCTGGCACCCCATGAGGCCTGCACCAAAGCAGGTAGGAAAGCAAGTGAATGCCCTCAGTTGTGGGCAGATGCTGAAGTGGTAACATGCTGTGCTCTTCCTACCTGTGTCCCTCCTCCATCCCTGAGGGAGATTTGTACCATGACTTGTGTGGCACTATCAACCAATGGGAAGCAAACTCAGCAACCAACAGCAAGAATCAGCCTGGTGCAGTGGAAGAAAGAGTGTGTCCATGCCAGAACAAATACACAGTTTCACCTGCGTTGTTTCATTCTCTTCCCTGTGTTCCACTGAAGTCACAGCCATTTTCTCCCTGGTAACAACTGCCTTTCAGGAGAATGGATGTATAAGGACAGGCTGACCTGCCAGCACCACAAATCCCTCCCAGCTGAGATCTCAACACCAGTCATCAGGGCTGCCAACACCAGCCACTAGAACAAGAGCTGCACCACCTTTTGCCAAGCCCAGATACTGCTGTTTGAAGCATTGTGCTGGAAAATGCCAGCCCCACGCCAGGAACAGGAAAGTATCACCCAAAGTGTCTCCAAGTAACCCTAAGATCTCCTTGAACATCCTCCAGGTGGAATGCCCAACAGCCTGGGATGGGCAGCAGCTGGGGCATAGCTCTGCTTCTCACCCTCCTCAAGATGCAAGGGGCTGTATCCCAGGGAGGTTCTCTTGGCAGTGCCAAGTGCCTCCCAGGACAGTTCCTCCCTGCTGAGAGCCAATCCAGCTCACAGTAGAGCTCAGTCTCTGACAGCACCACCTCCCGACAGAACAGAACAGCAACCCTGGGACCATGGCCTCTCGCACTCCAAGCAGGCACAGGAAGAAAGCACCTGGTCACCTCTGCCTTCTCCTGTCCTTGAGCCAGGCATTGCCAGAGCTCTAATTCTGGCCACATGGATGGGACAGAGGCAGGCCCAGGGCTTCATCAGCTCAGCTGAGCAGCACAGGTACCATCCCTCTGGACACAGCACATGGGGCTCCTTGTGCCCACACCAAGGGTTTGGTCCCTCCTAAGCCCACATGATGCTGATTTTTTTATTATTGACAGTGTTTCAGTTTGTGCTGGTGCTCTAAAATAGGAGTCAAAGAGCTTTGTCTCTTAGAGAAGCTCACCCAGAGCTCTTCCACTCTCTGCCCTGCTTCTGCCAAGGCCCCCTCACTGTTCAGAGAACAGGCAGGGCCCTGTGCTTTTGCCAAGATCTCCCAGCACCTGGATCTGGAGTTACGCTTCTTTGCCTGAGGAGGGCACCATGCTTCAACACCCAAGAAATACCCAGTGCCAAATGACCTGCAGAGAGGGAGCGTGTCCCATGCACTGGGGCAGAAATGCTGTGTTCATTGGAGACACTGAGCCACTAGAGCCTGACGTGGAATAACACAGCCAGGCCTGGTGGGGTTGGGTCAGACACTTGGCTTACCTGCTGGTTCCATTCCTACTAGCACATCCAGGGGGAAACCGGTATTAACAGACCATGGTCTCAGTCTGGAGGCAACAAAGCAGGATGGCAAATGAGGACAGGTTCCTGGCTGGGCAATGCAGCAGCAGTACCACATGCCAGGCTGCAGCCTGCAAAAGGATCTGTTGCTGTTCAAGCTATACTGTGCTAGCCAGAGAGGAAACAGGATGAGTGCGGAGCAGGGAGGTTGTCTGTCATGAGGCAGAGCCCTTGAGAGCCTGGCAGGGCTGGTAACACAGCACCAGTGCAGGGAAGAGAGCAAGAACTGTGCCTGAAGTTGCCACACTAATCCAGGGGAAATCCCAGAGGCTTCCCAGAGTAGCACTGCTAGCCAGTCAAAAGGAACATATGGCCAGTGGACAAGAAGACTTGACCTGGGCACTGCTGCCTGGGACAGAGCACCAACCTGGTGGCTGGCACAACCAAGAGAGGTCTTTGCAGAATTTAGACCAAAAAAAAAAAAAAAAAAAAAATCCCAAACCAATGCCTAAGTGGCTTTTGCTGTCTTCTCTCCTGCTTCCTCTTGTGGGAAGTGCTATGGAGAGACACTGGTGGCCTCACTGGGCATGAAGCAGGAACCACACATCCAGGAAGGAGAAGGGCCATCATAATCATCCTCAGAACAAGCAGAGTACAAGGGAAGAGAAGAGGCAACAGAAACTGCTGTAAACAGACTGCCTGGAGGATAAATCATAACTCTATTGATCCTATCTAGACCCAAGGAGAAGGAAGGAAATCTAAGCAGTGTGAGCACAAACCCAGGAGCTCCCTGGCACAGGCTAAGAGCAGAGATTGTGAAGTGCCAGCAGGCAGAAAGTTTCCATCACAACCCTGAAGGATGGCAGCACTAACAGCAATGCTGCCACCAGAGAAGGGTTCCTGCACAGTCTGACAGATCAGGCATATCACCATCAGGAGAGAGACAGACATGAGGCTGGGGACTACCTTCAGCACTGTAGCAGAGGTGGCAATCCCAGGGAGAAGCTGACTCAGGAGATGCTAGAGGAGTAAACTGTGCCTGAAGGGAAAAATGACCACTGGCCATGGATCTGGTACTATCCTGGAATTCAGGCTGGGGAGGAAGAAGCTGGCACTTGGTGGAAATGAGAGGAAGAACGAGAGAGAGGGGGAATGGATACAGATTGAGGGAGCTTCCTTGTCCCAATGCAAGGGCAAGTGCTGCTCTTGAGGGTCCTCAGGAGGCCTCCTGCCATGCCAGATTTGTGCAGCTGCAGAGCCTCCTTCAGTGCTAGCCCCTGCTAGGAATGGCGAGGAAGCCTGAGCCCAGAGAGGAAGGATGGGGAAAGAGGTATTGCCCATGCCACAAGTGCAAGCTCCTAGAAACCACCAGACACAGCTTTTACAGAGACAGACACCCAACACCTCTCTGTGCCCACAGCACCATGTCTGTGCTGCTGCTCCCTCCCATCCCTTGGGAGGTGGCACTGACTGGGTGCAGAAGCCCCCAGGGACAGAGCAGCCCTCTCTGCAGTGCATCGTGTTGGAGTTCCAAGCTGCAGCAGCCTCCTCAAGGGCTGAGGTCTGCCCAGCAACATGCAGTGCCTCCCCAGCCCTAGCACCACACTCAGGTGCTGCAGGGACTGAGCCCTTCCGCTCGGCCAAGTCAGGATAACACAATGAAACTCCTCCTGGGAGCTGGGGGAGCTGGAGCAGAGCTCCCAGCCCAGGGACTTACCCCTTCCCTCTGATGCCCCTCGTCCTGGCACGGATCACCTCCGCACACCTTTCCCAGGTGCCTGGCTTGCACATGGCGATGCTGACAATAGCCTGCGGCTGGGAAGGGGGGGTTTACAGGGTCTGCAGGCAGATTCCACTATGCGACAGCCACCTGTGTAAAGCTTTCCTCCACGTCCAACCCCCTCCCCGCCAACCTCCCCTCCACGCACGGCTGCCCATCTTCCCAGGAAAGCACAGTCAAAGAATGAAAAGCAGCTTAAAATCCGGCAGGACAATCGGGCAGCTCTCCAAGGCCGGCAGCATCCCCTGCCCACCCAGCCCAGCAGGTTCAAACCTCTGCGATACAGCCCACGGCCGCCCAGCTCCAGTGTTTGACCGGGAACCCAGGAAACCTCCAGCAGGCAAGGCAGGGAAATCCCATGCAGCAGCCGCTTACGAGGAGGACAGCCCAGGTTGAGGACAGACCTTTGTCTCTGCCTGCCTGTCTCACTCGCTCGTTGCCGGAGGAGGAAGAGGGGGGCGGTGGGGGACAGCGAGCAAAGATAACACCCCTAGGAGGGATGTCACAGCCACGTTAATCACTTGGAATTCCAGCCAGCGCGCCGCAAATATGGGCAGCAAATGGAGATGCTCAAAGCTCTAAAATAATTGGATCCTTTCACAAGAGCCGAGCCCAGAATCCAGCACAGGAATTCAGTCCCCGCTGGAAGTCGAGAAATCAAATACATGGAGAGGCAGGCGCAGCACAAGCAATCCTCAGCCACCGCTGTATGCAGCTCCATATAGCCTTTGGCGCTGCTTTAATCTCAGGTGCCTTCCCAGCGGGAGCGAGGGAGGACCACAGCGGAGAGCCCGAGTGCCCAGCTGAGGACCGGCCCCTTCCCATACAACTTACTCGACTTGTGGCAAGGTGCAGAAGCGCTGTCAATGCAAAAGAGGGTTTTGTGAGGGAGACCAGCTGCCTCGAAGCCTGGCTCGGTCGGAGGAACAGTCCATGGGAAGGAGACCCCTGATGCTGCTGTTTGGCCTCCACTGCCCTGCAGGGGAGATGCCTGGCCCGGCAGGATTCCCAGCCCGCATCACATTCCCGGCGAGAAGCACACGCGGCA